CTCTGGCCCCCCCCCCCCCCTCCTCCCCCCCTGCTGGCGGACGTGCCAGCTTACCTTCGCTGCGCTCCTCACCTCCCTGCCCGGAGATCTCGCTTCAGACGCCGGGGAAAACGTGCTGGTCAGCTGGTGAAGCTGAAAGCTCTGCGCGCTGCATCTTCCTCTTCAGCTGGCGGTCATGGTCTCCAGCTTCCTGCGTGCCCGGACCAGGTAACCAGTGGGAGTTGTCAGCCATTGCGCTGACCAGACCGATCTGGAGGGGCTGTTATTGAAAACCTGCGGCCATTAGCGCGCGCTAACTCCACTGCTGCTGGCTCTACTTTGGACAATATCCGGATGTGTTTGGTCAACGCAAAATCTGTTACCAACAAATCTTTTATCCTCAGGGATTACTTTCAAGAGCACGATCTAGACTTTTTCTGCATCACAGAGACTTGGATGTCTCCGGGTGAGTCTAGCACCTTGACAGAATTACTGCCACCGAACTGTCTGTGTTTTAACGCGTGGACATACGCTGGACCTTGTTTTAACTCATGATGTGACTGTTAATAATCTTGTTATTGGTGATAATGTTTTTTCAGACCACATGCCAGTCCGGTTTGAGGTCACCCTCCCCCATCTAACTCCTAAGTCGTGCATTCCTGCACGTCGCACTCGGACCATTAACCACTTCACTGCCGCACGTTTCACAGATGTTTATAACTCTGAAATGATCATTCAGCCCCCAGTGTTTCTCACCACCACTGAGGAGCTGACATCCCAGTTCAACACTGTCTGCTTAAAGACTCTGGATCATGTTGCGCCTGTTAAAACCAAAAAATCAAAACTCAAAGCAGAACCTTGGCTGAGTGACGTCACCAAGGCCGCTAGGCAGCAATGTAGGAGGGTGGAGTGAAAGTGGAGTAAAGACAGGCTGCAGGTCCCTTTCGAGATACTTAAAGAGAGTTGGCGCTGTTATCAGAAAACAGTAAAAGCTGCTAAATCAAAATTCTTCTCTGATATAATTACCTCAAACTCTCACAACCCACGTGTCCTCTTCTCCACCCTAAACTCTGTTCTCCACCTCACTGAACCATCACCTCTGGAAGCCTCGACTGAACTGTGCGACAACTTCCTACATTTCTTTGTGGAAAAAATTGCGACCACCAGGGCTCTCATTTCCCCTCCAACTCATGACCCATCCATCCCACCTCAATCTGTAGCTCCTTTTGACCATTTTGAACCCATCACTCTATCTTCTCTAGAGCAGGTCATGTGCAACTTGAAACCTTCTGGCTCCCCCTTTGATGTGGTCCCCCCTCGACTACTAAAGGAGGTTTTTCCAACTCTAGGTCCGTCCATTCTTGCCATAGTAACAGTAGTTTATCCACTGGCGTGGTGCCAAAATCCTTTAAACATGCTGCTGTCCAGCCTCTCCTGAAAAAAACAAATCTTGACCCCTCAGTCGTTTCCAACTTCCGGCCTGTCTCCAAACTCCCATTTGTTTCTAAAGTACTGGAGAAAATAGTCGAGTCCCAGTTGAAGTGCTTCCTGGAGGATCACGCCATCTTAGAGCTTTTCCAATCTGGCTTTAAACCTCTCCACAGCACTGAAACTGCCCTGCTGAAGGTCTTTAACGACATCTTCAGATTCACAGATACCGGTGATTCTGTGCTGCTTGTCCTGTTGGACCTCACAGCCGCCTTTGACACCATTGACCATGAGATCCTCATTGCTAGGTTGGAGCAGTGGGTGGGCGTCACAGGATCAGCCCTCAATTGGTTCAGATCTTATCTCACTGACAGATACTTTTGTGTCTCCATCAAGGATTTTAGTTCCGCAGAGGCAGAGCTTAAATGGGGGGTTCTGCAGGGGTCCATACTGGGTCCCCTCTTATTCTCTTTATACCTGCTGCTTGGTGCTTTTTTCCAGAAACACAACATGCCCTTCCACTTCTACACCAACGACTGTCAAATTTACTTCCCCCTAAGACACAATGGTACAAGCTCTATTCAACCGCTGCTCAACTGCCTGGCTGACATCAGGGACTGGATGGCTTTAAACTTCTTAAGTTTCAATGAAAAGAAGTCTGAAGTCATGCTGTTCCCTCCCAACGACACGATCACAAACCACTGCATCGACCTTTCCGCTCTAACCCTGACAGAAAAAAAAGAGTCACTAATCTGGGCGTGATAATGGACCCTTCCCTGAAGCTTACCAATCATGTAAACATGATTGTTAAATCATGTTTCTTCCAACTGAGGCGACTGTCTAAACTGAAGCCCATATTGTCCAAAAATAACCTGGAGACAGTAATACATGCATTCATTACATCTAGGCTTGATTACTGCAATGCGCTCCTGTTTGGTATCAGTCAGACCTCCATTGCACGACTACAACTGGTCCAGAATGCAGCAGCCCGACTTTTAACCAGTACAGGCAAAAGAGAGCACATTACACCAGTTTTGGCCTCACTGCACTGGTTACCGGTTCACTTTTGAATCCAGTTCAAAATACTCATGTATGTCTACAAATCACTGAACAGTGTCGCCCCCCACTATCTCTCTGATTTGCTACAACCGTATGTCCCACCATGCTCCCTGAGGTCAGCGGACCAGTTGCTCCTCACAGTTCCAGGAACTCGTCTTAAGTGCAGAGGTGACAGGGCCTTCTCTGTAGCAGGACCAAGACTCTGGAACGAGTTACCTCTGCTTGTCAGACAGGCCCCCTCCCTCTCGGTTTTCAAGTCCCGTTTAAAAACTCACTACTATTCAATAGCTTTCAACACAAGATGATCTGTGTTTTTGATCCTGTATGCTCTACACTGGTTTGTCGTCATTATCTGCATCGTTTTTGGTCTATATTCTGATTTACCTCATTTTGTATTTTGCTTTGTGTGTTACCTGTTGTTTTGTCTGTACAGCACTTTGGTTGGCCTTGTTGCTGTTTTAAGTGCTTTATAAATAAAGTGGTATGGTATGGTATGGTATATGCCAACTGGTAGGAGTCAAAGTTCGGAGGGAGATAGTCCTTGATGTGCTGGAGAACCAGTCTCTTGAAGCACTTCATGATTACTGGAGTGAGAGCCACCATTAATCATTGTAATCATTCAGGCTGATGATGGTAGGCGTTTTCGGCACTGGGATGATAGTTGCAGATTTTAAGCAGGGAAGGATGACTGCCTGGGCCAGGGAGATTGAAAATTCTCGTGAAGGTGGGGGCGAGCTGGAGGGTACATGCTTTGAGCACCCTGCCAGGTACTCCATCTGGACCAGTAGCTTTCCTGGGGTTCACTGATTGGAGCAAATGTCTAACATCATGCTCCCGTACAGTGAGTGGAGTGGTGCAGTAACTGCGTGGGTGTGGGGGCAGGGCTGGATCAGATGAGTGCTGCTGTGGTGCTTCAAAGCATGCAAAGAAGCAGTTTAGCTTCTCTGCTAGTGATACACTCAGGTCTCCTGTTGTCACCTCACATCCTCCATAGTTTGTGATATTATTTATGCCCTTTCACACCTCCCATGAGTAGTTACTGGACAGATGGGACTCTATACTCCTTTTATGGTCAGCATTTGCGGTTTTTATTCCCTTATTCAGGTTGGCTCGAGCAGTTCGGTACGGAGTTCTGTCACCTGACCTGAAGGAAGTATCACGGGCTCTGAGGAGTGTGTGGACCTGGCTGGTCATCCAGGGTTTCTGGATGGGGTAAACCCTAATGTTTTTGACCATAGTCACATTTCTGATGCAGAACTTGATGTAGTCCAGTACTGTTCCTGTGTATGTTTCCATCTCCTGATGTTCAAATAAGTCCCAGTTGGTTTGTTCAAAATAGTCCTGTAGTTCATCGAGTGCATTACCAGGCCAGGTTGTAACAGTTTTTGTTGTAGGCCTCGCTCTGCGTCTGAGTGGGGTGTAAGCTGGGGGGAGCAGGAAGGAAAGATGGTCTGATTGCCCCAGGTGGGGGAGGGGTATGGCTCTGTATGCGTGTTTAATGTTTGAGTAAACATGATCCAAAGTGTTCTCCCCTCTAGTAGAACACTTGACATGCTGGTAGAATTTTGGGAGTACAGTCTTTAGATTAGCCCTATTGAAATCTGCAATTATATGAACACCATCGGGGTGAGCCCACTGCTGTTCATTTATTTCTTGCTATGTCGTCTGGGACATAGTGCTTAGTTCATGAAACTTTTTGACAACACGAGGCAATCCAACAATGGATTGGATCTCCAGTTTCCTCCCACAGACTAATACAATACAATCCAACAATGGGCTATGTTTTTTTTTAACTCATAATTCTTTGGCAATCATCTTGTTTGAGTTAAAATACTATTTTCTGTCTGTCAAACTCTTATCTTCTGCATATTTTATAGACTCATTGAAGGAATTGAAACGTTGGTTATGTACTGTAACCCCAGATTCTACGAGTATAGGCATAGCCCTTTAAGGCTGTCGCTGATGTGAGCATTCACTCAGCCCCCCTCCACCGACACTACGCTCTCCAGGAGGGAATGAGCAGCGGGGCTGCAGCTGACGTTGCATGTCCCAGAGGAACCATCCAATTCGCTCCGAGGGTCAGCGATAAGAGGAAAATTACAAGATGGCGTTGTCCAGCATGTAGCGACCTGTCCCTGAGAAATACTCCTCGGCGCTTACCTTGAAACAAGACTGCTCGTCAGCTTCTCCTCGGGGAGGAGAGCTCACCGGGACGACCGGAGGTCGACGTGACGGGCCAAGCATTCTTAACAAAGGTTAGTCATCTACACAACTTTCCTTCTTCATTCTTCTGACAGTGCTATTAGCTCGCTGAAGAAAAATGGGAGTCGATTACCCGCTTTTAACTTAATTTATACGGACTTGGTGGGGCCCACATAGCAGGTGGGCGTGGACTAAATTTTTCAGTGTGATGCTCCGCATATCGGGATAAAACCCATCAGCGACAGCCTTAAAGGGTGAAGCCTATACGAAATAGAACACACCATTTCTTGACAGCCCGTTGGTAATAAAGAGTCTAAGAACCCTTATATTTTGTCCAATTTATTGACACAACACTATAGCATCTTTTAAGTTAAAATTACTATTTTTTTATAAAGTCTGGCTTTTTTGAGACCGAACAAATGAGGAGGATTTGAGACTCCGAAGGGAAGATGGGAGATTCATTTAGAAAAAAACAAAAAACAACTGGTTTTCTTTAAACTATTATCAGAGGTGATTTTTACCTGCTGCTACCACATGAGGGACTGATAGTGGTCCTGTGTATTTTACCTTTTCCTGGGAAGTCTGGTAACGAAGGTGTAGGGCGGTGGGGTCCCAGTCTACCGCTATATAAGCATTTTCTACAGAAGCACGATCCTCAGTGCACTCGATGGTGCAGCCTCTACAGAACCTGCAAACACACAAATACAGTACATACTGTACACTTACAGTCCATACACATCCTTAAGTAAGAAAAGGAATGGTATTTTTTAACTCTTATTACATTTTGTAATTACCTAAACTAAATATGGCATTTCTTATTCTCTTTAAATTCATACATTACAAACTTGATCCATACATCCATACATTCATCGATTATTTTTACCAGCTTCTACCTTTTTGGGTCAAGGGGGTCACTGGTGCCCATATTCATCAGTCACTGTGTGAGAGGTGGGGGACACCTGGACAGGACTCCAGTCCATCACAGGGGCACGTAGAGACATAAGACAAACAGCCATTCACTCTCTCTAACCTAGGGACAATTTAGAGTTACCAATCAGCCCAACATGCATGTTTTTGGTCTGTGGGAGGAAATTGGAGAAAACCCACACAGCACAAAGAGAACATGCAAACTCCACCAGAACGTAAAGTCGCGATTCATGGCCCGAACCCGACCCGAAACTCGGGCCGAGTCAGGCTATAATTATGTGCTTGATGGGTGGGCTGGGTCGGGCTCGGGCTTCTGTGGTGCGGTTTTCCGACTCATACAGCACAAAGAAAACTAAATGAGAAAGGTTTGTAAGATCAATCATCTAGTTAGGTAATAACAAAAATGGTTAAATCATGTCATCTGGACATGTTTCTTTAAGTGAAGAAACGTTTCGTCCCCCATCCAGAGGACTTTGCCAGTCTGCGGCCTGCCAACTAGATCTGTCTCATAGGAAGTCTTCGTTGCTGTGTTTCAAGCCAACCTCCTGTTGGAACCTTAGAAGTAAGCTTTTTTCCAACAGGAGGTTATCTTGAAACACAGAAATTAAATTAAATTCAATTCAGTTTATTTATATAGCGCCAAATCACAACAAAGTTGTCTCAGGGCACTTTACAGGAACATTCACATACAGAAATGAAGGCTTCCTATGGGACAGATGTGGTTGGCAGGTCACAGACAAAGTCCTCTGATTAATATCTCAAAAGCTCAAATAATATCTCAGCTATAGCCCCAAATCTAAAATGAGTTGAAAAGGATGGTCTGTGGACGCATTCTCATCTACCTGCCAGCTGTGCTCGAGTGCCTGACCACCGAGATCCTGGAACTAGCAGGAAACATGGCTCATGACAGCGGAAGGACAGGTCTGTCCCTTGGCACCTACAGATGCCTGTCCGCAGCGACGAGGAGCTCGAAGGACTGCTGGGAGGAGTGGCCATCGCGCTGGGAGGAATTCTGCCCGGCATTCGGGCGGTCCTACAGCCCGGGGGAACTGACCAAATAACCTCTTCTCGAACCGAGAAGCCAGCCGAGTCTGGGTGGACGGATCGGACGGCATCTGCAGCCAGTTTCTTAGGATCCTCTGTGGGATGGACCTTTACAAGAGATCCTTCCTGCCTACAGCTATCAGCATCTATAACATCTCTTAATGAAACAAGGATATCGAGTTACAACAACAAAATAATTTCCCTCTGGGATTAATAAATTATTTTTGAATTGAATTGAATTGGATGGGGGACGAAACATTTATTCACTTAAAGAAACAGGTCCAGATGACATGATTTAACCATTGTTTTTAAATGAGAATGCACAATATAAAATTGTGTTAATCTACTTGTAGAGGAGGAGGCACAAAGAATCAACTTTAGTATGTTGAAGATGAAGAAAGAAAGAAAATAGAGTGCAAAAGTTAATCAGACTGAAAAGAGAAAGAGTAGCGCTGGTGATGACAGCTTTATATAAGCATTTTTTATTTTGTCCATGTTTGTGCATTTCTTAATATATTTTTTGATAATTTTTATTCAATTCAATTCATTTATTAATCCCAAAGGGAAATTATTTGTTGTTGTGACTCGTTATTCTCGTTTCATTAAGAGATGTTATAGATGCTGATGGCAGTAGGCAGGAAGGATCTCTTGTAAAGGTCCATCCCACAGTGGATCCTAAGAAACTGGCTGCAAATGCCGTCTGATCAGTCCACCCAGTCTTGGTTGGACTCTTGGTTCCCCCGGGCTGTAGGACCGCCCAAATGCTGGGGAGAACTCCTCCCAGAGCGATGGCCACTCCTCCCAGCAGTCTTCCAAGCTCCTCGTCGCTGTGGACAGCCAACTGTAGGTGCCGAGGGACGATCCTGTCCTTTCGCTGTCATGAGCCGTGTTTCCTGCTAGTTCCAGGATTTCAGTGGTCAGGCACTCAAGCACAGCTGGCAGGTAGATGAGAATGTGTCCACAGAACATCCTTTTCAACTATCCTGATGCATGCTCAATAATCCAGGTAGAAAAATCTAAAAAAGTTAAATCTGGTCCTCTGGACATTCAAAAAAA